GTAATTTTTCAAGACATGATAGGCTCCATTTTCTCTGATAGAAAGGTAGGGTGGGTGTCGCTGAAGGCAATAATCTTGATACTGCCCTTCTTTAGACTCGCAACATTGATTACATATTAATTGCTAGACGTGGACAAAAGAATTGTAATGCTATGGACTAATTGCGTTTATATGGTGATTTGATAAATTCTCAAGTAGTTTGCTTTGAAGGAAACAGCTTCGTTCGATACATTTTCTCAGTTGAATTTGAGCATCTCTCATTACTTAATTATCTTCTGATGTAGATTTTGTTCATTGCACCTCTCCTTGGTGGACATAAGGGAATGGATGGTCATTCAAATGAGACCAATGGAGGAAGTAATGCCATTAAAAAGCTGGAAAGTATTAAAAACAATAATATAGGTTTACAGAAATCTCTGGAAACAAATGGAATGGGATTTGAGAATATCATCAAACATCCAACAAAACCTTCTTTCAAGGTAATATTTAAGTGATCTGTTTGTATTATCAACAAGCCAGTAAGCATGGTAGCTAAGTTTTACATTGCACACAGGCGTCAAAGTGGACCGTGGGACCAAGAGAATGCATACTTTTGCTTGGTTGGCGCCCAGATGTTGTAGATATGATTGAAGAATATGATAACTATCTTGGACCTGGTAGTGTATTGGTAAAGCTCTTCTCTGAATTAATTTTCATTTTTGCTAGACTATAAATCTTTGTATTAGATCTTGACTCCGGTGTATCACTTCTGCATAAGAATATGATGTGCTCTGCATTACAACAGTTCATGCATTATAGTCACTAGTCATGATCTTATGAAAAAAAAGATGCACTTGATTACAGTGTAGATTCATTGAAATATATCCCCATTTAGCTTCGCATCTCCACTTGAATGGAGGCAAAAGCTTCAATGAATTTTCTGGATAAAACATAGCTCACATAATGGAAATTGGATCTCTATTGAAAGTGACGACACCTGGGTTCTTAGGAATGTGAAGTTTTTGTGTCATGATGTGATGCATTCAACTCCTGATTAGCGTCGTGGGCTTGAAGAACCAGTTTTATACATCTATACTTTTGGTTATATGTCGCACGAATGTGGTTGTTGGACCATAATTGTGAGCTCTTGTGTATATGCAGGAAATTTTATCAGATGCGTCATTTGAAGAACGAAAGAAGGCTAATAAAGCTGTCGACCACAAGAAGTTAAAAAATGTCAGAGTTTCTCACAGGGTACTGACGATTGTCTTAATTGAATGAAGATAAGTATAGCCTTGTAGAGCATTTTAATTTTTCTTTAAGCCACCTTCCATAATTTTGTACCCCTGTTTTGTATGATGTAGATTGGAAATCCCATGGACTATGATACCTTAGAGGAAACCTTAACAAACATTAAGAGTTCTTTCAGTAAAAATGAAGATGTTCCTTTATCTATTGCGGTGATATCCGACAGAGAATCGCTTCTTGGGGGTATGGATATCAAAACTATCTTATGTCTTTTTTAGCTTGTGTAATGTTTCTGTGTGTTAATTACCTGAAGATGGATTGGATTAATTTGCAACTTTTCAGATCCATCTAGGGCAGACAAAAACTCGGTATATACTCTTCTCCTTGCTGAAAGTATCTGTAAAAAGCACGGAGTTAAGGTATTTGTTGTTTATACCAAAGTAATATTATCAATAGCACAATCTTCTTATAAATACTATTCATCAATCCTTTGACATAATACATTTATGGAAAGCTCGACCATATTATATCATAGCGGTCTTTTTGTGTATTTTCTGGAGAAAGTAGGGTCTATAACATGACAATTTATCTCAGGTACAAAATCTTGTTGCGGAGATTGTTGACTCCAAATTGGGAAAACAAGTAAATGCTTCGTTTTGAAATTTTCATGTACAGCATTTTTAGGATATTCAAATATTGACGTAACTGTTACAACGTATGCAGATAACCAGAATAAAACCTTCCCTGACATACATTGCAGCAGAGGAAATAATGAGTCTTGTCACTGCTCAAGGTCTGAAAATGCATTGGACCTCTTTGAGATTGTTTGTGCTAGTGACGTCCTAATTCAAGGATATATTTTTGTGGCACAGTGGCAGAGAATAGTGAGCTGAATGAAGTATGGAAAGATATTTTAAATGCCGAGGGTGATGAAATTTATGTGAAGGTACACCTCTATTTCTTTGTCCACGTTACCTTTTATAGCTATGAACGTTGAGGTAAAACGACCGGGTTGAAAGTACAATTCTTTCCCTAGTTGAAGTGTAGTAACAGAGAGTTAGACTCAAGTTAAAGATGCTTTATGTGTATAACCTTTTGTGACATAATTGCGTCATGATTTACATGTCTTCTTGACACAGGATATCAGTGGCTACATGAAACAAGGGGAGGATCTCTCATTTTCAGAACTTGCCGAAAGAGCAAATCTAAAGCAAGAAGTTGCCATTGGCTATGTTAAAGACAATAGGAAGGTAAGAATGGTAGTTGAATAATGGAGAGAAATGTAGGTTACAAATCTGATGCATTATTGTGGTTAATGCAGGTAATCAATCCAATACCCAAGTCCGAACTGCTTTCTCTCAAATTGACAGATTCGTTAATTGTTATATCAGAGCGTGAATGACGAAAAAAGAGGTTCTCATCCATCTCTACTTGTGGTGTTATGTTCATATATACAATCAACATATAATTTTTTCTCCCCCCGAAGGTATAGAACAGAAGAAAGTAGCACACACGAAATTGTCAAAATATTGTAAATAGTCTCCTTACATGTGAATCATAGTGCTTCAAATATTAGATCATAGTGTAGAATTCCTTTTGTAAATAGTCTCCTCCTTCTGAAATCTTAATACCCACTGAATGGTGGGTTACTTTTTATGATTTCAAGGGACAGAATTTGTTTTATTCTGTTGCCCAAATGAATCTGACCATCTCAACAATACTTTGAATTAGGAGTCTTAATTAATTAATTAATGGTGTCGGATAAATGGACTTAATTTAATCTGCAGACAGACAAGATATTATAATTACATTAAAACGGAACAGATTTGTCTGAGATTCCCACATAAAAAAGACCTCGGAAGTCTCATCTTTTATTAATCAGCTTAGGAATCAGAATCACATTCAGTGTATTCTGCAATTTCAGTAGAAAAAAACTAAAATATGAATAATTCCATGAAGAATCAGAAAGTAAGAGTAGAGAGTGCTTGTCTTTTGGTCTCCAATCCAAATTCAGAGTATTAAATTTAAAAGAGAGATTTTTTTACAAACTTCAAAAAATATGCTCGTTGCTCGATAAGATTTGCTGAAAATATTAATATATATTAATAAACACAAACTTTTAATTGGTGGGTTTTGTTTTGGAGTGGCTCAAATTTTTACAATAAATGCTGGGATTTGTTTGGGTTCAATTCAATATATTATTATACTTTTTCTCTTTTTCTTTTTTTTTAAAAATGTGGCAGACAGACCCCAAAAAGGTTTCTACTTTTAATTTTAACAAAATGGAATAGAAATTAAGAATCTAAAGTCCAAATCTTGAGTCCTTACGCTTCATTTTTTTTTTTTTTTTTTTTTTAAATAGAACTAGTGCTTAAAGGACTATTTCCAAAAATAAAAAAAATAAAATATTAAATATTAAATGGGATGAAGTTTGAGAAAGCAATCGTCGCCCTGATGTATACCCAAACCTGTTTAAAATTGGTTGCTTTGTGTCTTTTTGGTAATATTTACAGTGCGTTTAATTTTAATATGATTATAAGTTTCTCTTTTTTTTTTTTTTTTTTTTTTTTTTTTTTTTTTTTTTTTTTTTTTTTTT